TCTTTCATTTAGTAGGTTGTCTTTTCACTTTGTTGATGATTTTCTTTACTGTGCAAAAACTTTTTAGTTTGATGTACTCATATTTGTTTACTTTTCTTTTGTTTCCATTGCTTGGGGAGACATATCAAAAAAAATATTGCTAAAAGTGATGTCAAAGATTTTACTGCCTATGTTTTCTTCTAGGAACTTTATGGTTTGGGGTCTTATATATAAGTCTTTAATCCATTTTGAGTTTATTCTTGTAGATGGTGAAAGAAAGTGGTCTAGTTTCACTTTTTTGCATGCATCTGTCCAGTTTTCCCAAAACTGTTTATTGAAGAGATTGTATATTCTTTGTATATCCTTTCTTTCTTCATCATAGATTAACCATATAGGCGTGGACTTTTTTCTGGTTTCTCTATTCTGTTCCATTGATCTGTGTCTGTTTTTATGCCAACACCATGCTGTTTTGATGATGATAGCCTTGTAGTATAGTTTGATATCAGGTAGCATAGTATCAACTTTGTTCTTCTTTCTCAATATTGCTTTGGTTATCCAGGGTCTTTTGTGATTACATATAAATTTTAAGATTATTTGTTCTAGTTCTGTGAAAAACACCATTGGTGTTTTGATAGGGATTGCATGGAATCTGTAGATTGCTTTGGGTAGTATGGACATTTTAATGATATTAATTCTGCCTATCCATGAGCACAGTATAGCCTTCCATTTATCTGTATCTACTTCTATTTCTTTCTTCAGTGTCTTAAGTTTTCCAAGTACAGTATAGGTCTTTTACCTCCTTGGTTAAATTTATTCTTAGATATTTTATTCTTTTTGGAATTCCTGGAAGATTTATCCAGGTGGTTGTGTGTATCAAGTTTGCTCTTTTCATTGCTGACTAGTATGAAACAATATACCACAATTTGTTTAACCATGACCTGTTGAAGGACAGCTGAATTGTTTTAAGTTTTTGGCTATTCTGAATAAAAGTGCTATGAAAATTTGTGTACAGATTTTTCATTTCTCTGGGATAAATAACCAAGAGTGTAATTGGCATATTGTGTGGTAAGTACATGTTTAGTTTTCTAAGAAACTGACATATGGTTTTATATTCCATGAATGATCTAGTTTCTCTGCATCTTCACCAACATTTGAAGATGTCACTATTTGTTATTTTAGCCATTCTGATAGATATGCAGTGTTATCTCATTGTAGTTTTAATTTGCATTTCCCCAGTGGCTAATGATGTTGAACATCATTTTCATATGCTTATTGTTATTTGTATGTCATCTCCGGTGATCTTTTGCATTTTTACTCCACCATTTACTTATTTTCAGACTTGGGCTGGGGGTGGGGTTGATGGCAAACTACCTATGAAGTGTGTAATAGTATACTTAGGTGGGAGGAAACAGATCTGCTCCTGAAGTAGAAAATATTGCTTACTATGGTTCTCAGCCCCGTGTTTGAGTCTCTGGGAATACAAAGATAAATAAGAGAAGAACCTTAGTCTTGAAGTTCTAAAACTATCTGAGACTTTTGGAAAGGAAAGCAGAAAATATGTGGAAGTTTGCAGTTTCCAACTTGCATGGCTTCAGGGGATATTTGCCTGGGTATCATAAAGGTGAACACAAATGATGGAAAAGCCCAGCAGACACAGACCAAGGATTCAAATTCATTGACTATGAGTTAAGTATGCAAAAATGTCTTTTCCCGTAGATGGCTGCCCAGAGCAAGGGGCTGGGTGACACAGTAGCACTCTCAATTAGAGGACAAGCACTCCAGCCTTCAAATCCCATGAGGCACTCAGCTGCCAGAGAGAACATTGACTGGAGTGAGACTGCTAATAGGCTCTTCAGGAAACTTGTTCTGTCCCCACTCTCTTATTCCTTGGACCTCCTAATTGTTCCAGAGAGCCTAGATCTATGTCTAATTGATCACCAGTTGCAAGCACCTAGTGTCAACCCCAACACATATCTGAGTGCTTAATTTGAGTTTAGGTAAAGGACATTCTTTCCAGGAACTTTATCCTCCCTAGGAGGACTGAGTCTGAGGCAGTATATTCCTGTAGTTTTCTGCAGAAATTAATGACCCAATTCAGTATCTACTTAAGAACTGGGCAGTGATGACCAAAGAAGAAATATGTCAATAGAGAAGAATAGGGAATGTGTACACACACACACACACACACACACACACACACAC